CCCCCCCTAACTTAATGCCAGCTTAATAGGGTCGAGCCTGCCCCCCCCTAAATTTCATTCTGGCTACGCCGATGCTCACGGTGCATTTTTTATACCAAATTTTGTTTGGACGACTGTTAAACACCTCAGTGAAAAGGTTGGGCTTATTTATGGAGTATTCTAGTACCTCATCATACCATCTATCCTTAATTTGGTTACCTATTTGCCTGACCGCTTCATCTACCGAAAGTTTCACATTCAAAATACTATCACCTGTAATTGCATTCTTTGCTAAAAGGTCCGCCCTCTCATTCCCAGGAATGCCCTTATGACTAGGAGTCCATATAACTACCACCCTATCAAAGTCTGCTTCCTGTATGAGCTTGTGTATTTTATAAATTAAATGATTTTGAGTCGTGTGTTTGGTTAGAAGCTGGCAGGCTGTCCGTAAATATTGTGATCTTCCGGTGTAAGTGTTTTTTGCCATTTCAAGAGCGCTGTGAATGGCTACAATTTCGCCAAAACAGGACGAAGTTTTGAAATTAAGTTTAAAGGAAAGTTCCCTTTTATCCGAGTAGCTATGCACTCCACATCCCGTGAAATTAGACCCAACTGACGCGTCTGTATAAAAGATATTAAAATCTGCTCTTTTATATTCGTTCAACCATTCCGCATAAATCGATCTGATAACTTCAGAGGACACATTTTCTTTTTTGTCTATGAGTGTTTTGGTAATTACAATGAGATTAGGTGAATAAATTTGTTCATTAACCACTTCAAGGTTGTCAAAGGTCTGCCTAAATTCATTAAAAATTAAGCTGTAGCTAGATTTGACTGCCGGGTGTTGATAAAGCGATTCTTTGAGCGTCTGATCTGTGACAAAGTTATATATGAGCTCCTTTGCTGTTAGCCATTTGGCTCTTTCTTCTGGTGGAAGTTCATTGGCAAGCGCATAGATAAGGACAACAGGAGTGGCAGGCGTCAGTCCCAAGCATCTCCTCAAAAAACTATTCTGAAAAGTTCGGATCTTTTTGCTTGTGGTTTTAGCACAATACGCAGTTGAGGATCTGCAGTATTCTATTTTGCTTCGTACAACAGATTTATAATAGTTTAAAGCCACTTGAGGACGGAGCCCTACTTTAACTGTGGTAATAGCCTTAAAAAGAATTAGCTTGAGAGTTCTTGATTACCTCCTCATAGTGATCATTTGCTGTCAAAGATGCACTAAGGAACCTGCCCAAAAACTTCAGAGCCCTTACCTGCTCAACTCTTTTGCCCTGACAGAGTATCTCAAAATTGGTCTTATTCCCCTTACACAGGTACATGACCTTCGTTTTTTTTCAGGATTAAAGGCTAAATTGCTATCCGCACACAGCTGTGAAAAGTCATTTATTTTTTGTTGCAAATTTAGAGCCATCTGTTCTACATTTTTATGAAACGACATTATGATAAAGTCGTCCGCGAATTGAATAATCTTGGTGTTACAATCTTGTAAGGAAAGGAGATTTTTTGTATACAGATTGAAAAGCAAAGGAGATAAACAGCTGCCTTGGCAGGCCATCCTGAATTTCCACCGTCTCCTTACCGAGCTGAAGAGTTCTTTTTGATAAAAAATTTATAATCCATTCAATGTAGGTATCATGTATACCTGCTGTAATCATCTCTGTCTTCAAGCGATTAACACGGACACAGTTGTATGCATTGCTTATATCAGCAGAACATATCATAATTTTATATCCTTCACTTTTAAGATCAGATGCTTCGTGAAGCAATTAATTAATACCCATTGTGGCAGATTTTTTCCTTCTGTACGCAAAGGAGAATTTCGGTAACAGGTCGTTTTCTTCTAAGAAATCAGAGACTCTTTTTTTAATACAAAGATTGATACGCTTAAGAAAGACAGGAATCAAGGCAATAGGCCTGAAATTGGAGAAAATACTGAGATCTTTATTTTTCTTAGGAATGGGAACTACCTTAATTGTGCGCCACCTGTCCGTGATTTGATTGGAAAGAAACACGTTATTTAGAGCTGTTTTGACATTGTTTAGAGCTGAGTGAGAAAGCGCTCTAAGCATTTTGTACGTAATTTGATCGACTCCTCCTGCGGAATCTCTGTTCTTCGAGAACAGAATTTCGTGGAGCTCCTCAAACGTAAACGCTTGTTCATTTATAGGACAAATCTCTCTATTTATAGGATGTGCTATGTCAGATGGTGGAACTTGACTTTTGAGAAGTAGAAGATAGTTTTTGTCATTTTCCCAGGACCACATGGTATTGTTAGTACGTTTGTAATCTCCTCCCATCGCCTTTACAAACCTCCAGGCCTCACTCGTCGTAAGAGCTAGATTTAAATCTTCAATTTTATGTTTGAAACTTTGTTTTTTTGCCTCTTTTATTTTCCTTTTCCACTCATTCCTTATCTCCTGTAAAGCCTCAAAATTTTGGGGTGAAGGTGTAACCCTACATTTTTTAAAAGCAATTCTGACCAAGCGGTACATTTTTGAGAGGGAGATTCATCCCACCATGCTTTTGGCGTTCTTTTCCCCCTTAACACATACGTGGCGGCATCAATTTCTTCACTTAACGTTTCGTGAATATCCTCAAAGTTGGGCTCCAAATCTATGTCCTTAAGATTTTCCATTAATTTCTTCTTTGAGCAAAATTTGGTGGCTAAGACTGAGACTGACAAGGTTTCGATCAAAATCGGGAAGTGGTGGCTTCCTCCTACTCTAATGGGGTCTACTTTCCAGTTAAACGACAGACTGCTGTTTGTAAAAGACAAATCTAGCATTGACCCACCAGCTGACCCTATTTCATTTTGAAAAGTGTATGTTCCATCATTTAATATGACAAAATTAAATTCCGAAATAATTTTTTGCAGATTATTACCGCGACAGGACTGTACTGTATCTCCCCAGATTCTCGCTCTCGCATTAAAGTCGCCAAGTATTAAAACATTCTCCATGTTTTCCAGGTACGAAAACAGCTTCACGATTTCCTCACGGAAAGAAACCGTCTCGGTGCTGTGCGGAAAATAAACAGAGCAGATAGTTACATTTGGCTTGCAATTTTTGGTTCGCACAATTAGAATGTCATAATCCGACATAAAATTGAGCTTTTGAAATTTTATTTCTTTTTTAAGTACTCCACCGTAACCATCAGACCTATTATTTTCAATTATGTTGTACCCTATTAAGTTTCTGTGCGCTGTTTCATGTGACGTGAAAATTTCACTGAAACAACCTATGTCTACATTGTTATGGTTCATATAAAACTCTATTGCATTTAAACTAGATTTTAGCGATTGAATATTGTATTGTAATAACCTCATCTTAATTTAAGGAGAGATTTCGGCATTACATCTTATTGTTTCGGCATCCTCATAGATAGAAACGAGTTCAAAATTTTGTTTTATTTTTTGCATTTGGGAGAAAGCATCCCCTAGCTGCCCGCTGGCATTTATATTTTGCAAAATTTGAAGAAGTTCCGCGATTAGCTTCTCCAATCGGGAGACTTTACCCTTGAGGTACTCTGGCCTCTCAATGACCGGCTGAATTTGCTTCCTTTCCCTAACTTCCCTGACTACCATTTTTTGTTCCCTGCCATTTGCTTTTTCACCCATTCCTTTTTTGTTACCGTATTATACCTGGTTCTAGTTAACTTCTTGTTAACACTCGCGTCCCTATTGCGAACATTGCTGGTATCTTTTGAAAGTGGAGGGAATACATCCTCATCCACCAGAAGTGCTTGAAACTGGTTTTCTCTGTCAGAGAAGTAAATTTGTATGGTCTCCCTCCTAGAGAGCTTTTTAACAGCCTTTACATAATTTATTTCACGTTCTTTCTCCCAAGCCTTGCGCTTCTACTTTTACCCTAAAGAGTGATCAGAGTTTCCGCAAAGGATACATTTTCTTACACAAGAGGCACCCTCACACTCATTACCTCCGCATCTAATGCATCTTTTCTTTGACTTGCACCCGTATTGCGTATGACCCAGGCGGCCACAGTTAAGGCACTGTCGCAGGGATGGGATGAAAAAGTCAACATCTAGTTTAACGTAGTCAATTACAATAGATTTGGGAATTTCTTTACCAATAAAGCCTATTTTTATCGTGGTTGTGGGCGTAAAAGAGTTGTCACTACTTTTTCGGTTGAAGCGTCTGACCGAATTTATTTAAACTGATGATATAGCTATGGCTTTGATATCAAAATCAGTGTACGAGAGTGGGATTCCTCTCACTACACCATAAGTCTCTATGGCAGAATTTGGGATAAAAGCTCTCAAGTTCATCTCCTTGATTTTTCTATTTAAAATAAAGTTGTTTGCGGACGCACAGTTAGTAAAAATTATTTTGTAGAGTGTCTTGCCAATGGCGTGGATTGATTCTTAAATGCTTTATTTGGTTGAAAAGAGTCAACCCATTGGTTCTTTTCTCATTGCCCATGTCTTTGCATAACGAGGAATCTATAAGCACAAAGTAATTACCCGTGAACTTGTTTGGGAATAATGTTATGTCCATCACTGTAGCATTTGCTTGTTCATTTTGTTTCATTTTCTGTATATCATTGAAAGACCCGTTAACCGACGCCGCCTCATCAACAGTAAAAGTCCCGTTACTCGCAGCGCTCTTTACATTTTCCACGTTTTGGTTGCTGGACAAAATACCCTCACTGGATGCACTTTCATTCCTAATCTTTTCAGAACTATGCACTTCCAACATTTGGACAATATCTGACTCTCTGTCTCTTTTTAGTCTTTTCCCAGTTGCAAGGTTGGAACTCGCAAAGGCCTTAAAATCCTCCACCGATGGTGCCTTCAACAATGTAGTCGAAACCGCCATATCGGCTTTGGATGCTCTTGTTGGCGTAAACGGCAACTTAAATAACTATTTTCACCACTGACATCACAAAAGAAAACCAATGTCTCACAAAAATTAAAAAGCAGAGTCACTCACCTGGGTTTATCCAAAAATCTGGTGAATTACAGATGATCAACTTGATTGAAATTATGATATTACGTTTAGGAAGCTTCCCACACTTAAAAGTATCAAACGGTAGGTGATGGATTTCACTAAATAATTTAAACCACGAATTAACTTGTACACTAGTACAGCTGCGCCAACAGATGCGACCATACTCGCAGATAGAGAAAGAATACAAGAGGCACATTCTGCGAAATTTTATCAGAGGTCTTCACCATTTTGGAAAGAGTATTATGTCGAAAATGGATAAGATTAACACTTCTAGTTCTGAAAATGTGCGTAACTCCAAATCTCATTTTTGCGACAACTTTGGAATTCCTGGAGTGATTGGTTGTATCGACGGCACTCACGTTAAATTTATGAAGCCTTGCCAGAACGAACATCTTTATTTTAATAGGAAAGGATGCTTCAGCATAAACGCGATGATCGTAAGTTAAAACATAAAATGACAGCAAAAATTACAAAGATAATACAAACAGTCATGTGAAAAATAATACGGACACGACATTTTCACCGGTTTTGGCTATTTTTCTTTTGTTTATCTTTTTATTAGGAGTACTTAAAAAACCTATACTTGAAACTTGCACTTTCTTACGCCAGAATTTAATGGGCTATAAAACTGCGTACTAAGGGTTTTCTAAAAATTCTTAATAAAAAGTTTATTTTTGCTGTAAAATTTTGTGGAATTTTTCTACATAGTTTGATATTTGGATTTATATGGTTTTTGTTAGATAATGAGCCGTTTTTTTATAAAAAAAAATCCAAAGCTGGTCCCTTGAAATAGTTACTATACATGCATTCACAAGTACATATCTAAAACATTTTATTGCAGATATGCGATTACAAAATGGCAATAAGAGCGGTTGATGCCTGTCATCCCGGGTCCTGTCACGATTCCTTCGTTTTCAATTTAAGTAGTGCAAAGCAGTTACTGTTATCAAAGTATGAAAGTGGAGATCGGAATTCTTGCTTACTTGGGGATTCAGGATATGGTTTGGATACTTTTTTATTAGTTCCTTACAGAGATCCAAGGGCTGGAACTCCACAGCATAAATTTAATATGCAACACTCTAAAGCCCGCAACATCGTTGAAAGAGTCTTGCAGTGCTCAAAAGCCGTTTCAAATGATTGCAAACTGTTTTGCCATATGCGCCCCAGAAAGTTGTTAAAATAATTAATATTTGCAGTGCCTTGCATAATATATGTATGTCGGTTTTATAATTTGAATGGTTTTGCTGATAACTTTTCTTATGAATTTCGCTGGTGATAATCATCCCTATTCTGCATTTCGATTACGTTCCCGCATTCCGCTCCGCTGGAATCGAACTTAGGTATTCTGCGTTACGATCGAAACGAAAGAAGAAATCGAAACAAAACAAAGAAATATTTGCCACCAAACTATAGCAGCATATGAAGTTAAAGTTTGTAAATATTTTAAAATAACTAAATATACCTAGCATCACTGTAATTTAAAAATAAAATTTAAGTGGATACATAATTATAAGAATGAAATCCATAGCCGCGGCGTTATTGCTTGAAGAGAAGAACGAGTCCCAGATTGCGGATGCGGAAGTTGAAAGGCGGAGATTTAGGGACATGTTTGATCATTTTCAGATGAGTGAAGAGTCATAAGGAATTCATCTTGAACTGTATTACTCATCGCTTAAAGTCAGTGAAATTATAAACGTTGTTGGAGCACTCCACAAGATTTGTATTTACTACAGAGTGGAAGATTTGAACGCAAATGAATCCCATTTTGAAAGCCGTCAGAAGGAGGGGAAGAACAAAGCTTATCTTTCCATAGCAAATCGAATTCGAGGCAACATACGCACCTCTTCTTAAAAAGTTAGTAAAAACGAGTGCAATAATAAAAGCATCTTTTTTATGTGACTTCACATTTTATTTATGTATGTATCTATGTGCATACATCTATTAATTTTATATAAAAAAAATAAATTGTATTCAGTTGCCATTATTTGAGCAAATTTTTCGTATTCATTTATGATGACTTTTACAATCATGCACAGTATATTTTACTTAAATTTTTTATAAAATTTTATTATTTAAACCCACGAAAATAACAATTGAAACGTTCTCCGTCAACAAATTTGCAACTTAGAAAAACGGAACTACGATCGAAATGTGGAATAGGTATAGTCGTAAATTTCGAAGATTGATCGAAAGGAAACGGAACGCAGAATACCAAAGTTGCCAAACGGAGAAAATTTCGATTCGAGTCGAAATGCAGAATAGGGCTGAATAGCGATCTCTCTGAAGATAACAGTCGCCTACAAATTGGTAGAAGGATGAGAGATGAAATAGCAAACAGCATTATATAATTTTGTAATGAATTTTATTTGTAAAATATTTGTTAACATTAACAAAACAAAACTTATAATTTAATTAAATTGGGAACTAATAAAAATAAAAAAGACGCATTTGATGCTTATAAGAACTTCACTGAGATCGTTTTCTTATACTTTTGCAAGTGTAAAGTGCAAGTATAAAGCAAGTGTATTGAATATTCCTGACCGTAATTTACTTTAGGTAAAACGATTCAACAATGTCAAAGGGGAAAAACTGCACCCCGGCTGTTCGAAAAGCAATCATAGAGTTGCAAAGGACCGGATTATCCTATAGTGCTATTGCACTACAGTTAAACGTTTCCAAAACGATGGTTTTTAATGCTTTAAAATATTTTTCTCAGTATGAAACAGCAGAAAACGTTCCTAGAAAAAAGAAAGCTAGAAAAACTTCTAGTAAGGTTGATAGGATGATCGTTAGACTGTCAAAACAAGACCCCAGGAAGAGTGCTGCTGACATCCATCAAGAAATTTCTGTTCATCTGGGAAAGCCAATTACAAAAAGAACAGTTGTACTTCGATTGGCAGAAGATGGGCTTCACGGTCGACTGGCACGGAAGAAACCATTGATAACAGCATCGCAACGACAACGCCGAATTGAGTTTGCTCGAGAGCACATATCGTGGACTCAAAATCAGTGGCGGTATATTTTATTTAGCGATGAAACAAAGATAAATAGAATTGGCCCAGATGGTAGGAAGTACGTACGGCGACCAAAACCTGCAGCATTCGACCCCAAGTTGGTCTCACCAATAATAAAGGGGGCTCAATAATGTTGCTGGACTGCTTTTCGTGGAACGGTGTCGGGCCAGTTCATCGTATTGAAGGCAATATGGATGCAGTAAAGTACGTTGAAATACTCCAAAATGTAATGCTGCCTTATGCGGAAGAGAATTTGCCGGTGATTTGGAAATTTCAACAGGACAATGATCCGAAGCATACTTCTTGTGTTGCAAAAAAGTTCTTCGATGACAATTCTGTCACTGTTCTGGATTGGACATCATCAAGTGCCGACTTAAATCCAATCGAACATCTTTGGAACGACGTGGAAAATGCCCTCAGTACGCAGAACGTCACAAATTTGGATCAATAGCTTGAAAAAGCAAAGGAAGCATGGGAATCCATTCCTGTTGAACGTTGTAGAAGTTTAATAATGCCAATGCAAAGGCGCTGTGCAGCAGTATTAAAGCAAAAGGGATTTGCAACAAAATATAAATACTTTTTTTCTTTACACTTGCAATTTTTATGTTTTTAAACAATATATTGCTTCCTTCTTAAGTATTTCTCTCAAAGGAGTTTCCCATTGCGTTGTGTTTGATATGTGAAGAAAAAGACTAAGTTTTTCGTATGGAAAAAAATCTGATATATGTTAAAAAAATTTTAAATTAATGAAGTAAAACTTAAGATTTAAGACATTTAAGTGATTTTATTAAAAATCGTCCCAAATAGGAAAATTTGGGATCGTTCTTAAGTATTTTTCAACGGCTGTATACACATGTAACCATAAGTGGGCGTAACTACGCCCATTTTCCAAAAATTTATAATATTTTTATTTTTCGTCAAAAAACTATTGTAAATATCAATTTTGACTGAATAATCTTCAGTAGTTACTAAAATATCGCAGTTTCAGAAACCGTTACCGTTATATAGGAAGTAGGCGTGGTTATTGTCCGATTTCGCCCATTTTCAATACCATCCGTCCTACGCCGAAAGGAAGTGCACGTACAAAGTTTCGTTAAGATATCTCAATTTTTACTCGAGTTATCGTGTGCACAGACGGACGGACAGGCGGACACACAGTCACCGCTTAATCGATTTCTCTTTTCATTCTGATCATTTATGTATACATTTGTCTAATATCTATCTCGATTCGTTTTGCCTGTTACAAACAACCGTTATGTGAACAAAGTTATAATACCTTTGTGCACAAGTGCGCTATTTTGTTGAACACTGTACATAGTTTAACATAAATTTATACTTTTCGTTTCTATGTATTTTCTTCTGCTGAATTTCCACCAATTTTTGTTGGATACGATTTTTCTCAAACAAATGTTCCTGCCTTACCCAGTAATGTTTACGTGGGTCTTTGTTCTGCTCCGCAATTAGAGCGTTTTGCTTCGATACCAAATCTGAGGTTTTTTCGATAGCCTTGTATACTCTACGCAAGCCACTATTGAATTCAGATATCATAAGAACATGCTTTGTCGAGTTTTCTAGGATCTCCTTTGTTGTTTGTGCTTTGATTTCCATTGCACCTACTTCACTGGCCATGTTTTTCTTGATGCACTCGTTCATGGTATTTTCTCGAACTCGCTTTCGCGGAAGAGGGGATTCGATATTCGTATTGGTAGTATCTAATTCCGCAACTTCCACATCAACGATGTCATCTACCACAGCTTCACCTGCGCCATACGATTGGCTGCTTGCGATTCCTTCGATCGCGGTATAGAGGCCACAGAGTTGTTCTATGGTTTCCTCAGTATCTGAGAGAATGAATTTTTTAAAAGGGCCACCTCCGGTTGCCCGATCTTCATTTTTGTTATGCGCTAGTTTTTTCCTTATATTTCCTTTCCAGTCGGACCACAACTTGAAAAGAACAAACATATGTGTATATATACAAAAGTACGTAATAGGTAAATGTCCAGAATAAACAACCCGCTTATTCCAACTGAAAGATTATTGCTCTCCATGACTAAATTGGTATTTTTTTTTTAATAATTTCCAGGCATAGCAAAGCCTGCTTAAATTTTCAGGAGCCAATAGCGAGCGTAGATTTCAGTGAATATGCGGTGTCTTTTGTACATTGTTAAATCATGGATCTCCCTCACTTTTTTCCAACCATTCACGTCTTTTTGTGGCGGCCCATCCTTGTTGAGTTGTTTGGATAACTCTGACCACAAGGATTCCACTCCTACTCGGTCCCCTTCAATAAAATTCTTGGCCAAGTCTCTATGTTGCTCCATAAACGTCAAGAATGTATTTTCCTGCTTTTCTTTTCTATTTACCCCTGTTAAATAAAGTAAAATCGATACATTTATTTTAAGTAAAAATGCGATCAATACTAACATTTCAATTTTATTACGCTGCAGATAAAAATACAAATTGAGTTTTTCTGTATTCTGAAGCTTCACCCGCCAAAAGTAATATCAAATAAAAACGCCATAACGTTTCGATTTCATGTTCGAAAATTAAAATCGAAATCGTGAAACTCAGAACATGCCATAGGGAATTGACCATTAAATTCATGCGAAAACGTTTTGCAGAACATGGCCGAAAGAAGTACAAAACCAAAAGAGGAGTACATTTCCAAATTTTTTTTCTTTTGGAGTACAAGGGAGTACAGTGCAGGCGTACGTTTACTCCCAAAAGCAGTACGTCTGGCAAACCTACACAGTGTTGCCAGGTTTTCGGCATAAGAAAAAACGTCATTTCCTACCCAAAAAGTCTTTTCCATGTATGAACACAGAATTGTTCTTATTAAACTTTTGTTGTATACAAAGGTACATATGTACGTAAGGTATATCAAAATGTTATTTCGGCAGAGCACATTTAAAATTCATTAGTGGCATTCACCAAAGTGAGCAAGTGGCCTGGTACTCTGGAAAAACAGCAGATGAGCTCAAGCAATGACTGTTGACAAGTTGGTGAATACCACTATTGTAAACTGGTTTGAGATCGTTAATATAAAAATCATTTTAAACATACACTTGTGATCAACTGTTTTTCTTTTGCTTATTTAATGTTCATTACTTTTCATAAAAGCCTAGCTCATTATATAACTAACACAATATAAATCCACATTTCAAACTCTGTGCAAAAATTATAAAAAATATGCAAAGTTTCAGCTAGATTTTCAAGTTTTTATTCAGATTTTGTATAATTTTTTTGAGTATGCAGTTTGATAGCCCATTAAATTCCAGGGCAATAATGCGCAAGTTT